GAGGAGGAGGAGGAGGAGGAGGAGGAGGAGGAGACTGCTTCAGGGACTCTACTCAAGCTCCGCGGGCCACAGCGCTCTTCTCCCCGCTGTGTGCTGCCGCCCTGATTCGAAGCCCGGACCCGCAGACCCTCTCCTGCTCTGGCACTTCTTTCCCGGGGGTCTAGTCATAAAGGGCATGGTCGGTCCCCCTTGGGACCTCAAGGACTACAGACAACTGTTCAGCAGACTCCAATAGTCACAGCCTAGCCCCCTTGGGCCCTGGAGCCACCACCTCGAGGGCAACACTGTTCTGGGGGCTCCCATACAGTTCCCCCCTTCCACAGCCATGCGATGGCTCCCTGTGCTGTGTCCAGTGCTCTGTGCCCCGGTCCTACGCGAACCAGGCTCTCTATTTGGTCTCTAAGAAAAAGAGATTTGCCCCTCTGGGACGGAGGGGAGGGGAGCCCAGCACCCAGGATTTTAGGGGGAGATAGTTGGCACCTTTGGTCAAGTCTGAGTGCTGCGCCCTACCCTGAGTGAGGGGTTCTCTGAACTGGTCCAGCTGGACCACGGACATTCCTCAGGGATCTCCTGTGGAGGAGCCCAACCCAATCTTCAGGAAGCTTCTGCACGGGTTATGTAGAACCCACGCTGTACTCCGCCAGCTAGGCTGTGCCCTCAGCTTGCTGTAGACACCCACAAGTGTCCAGTGAGGGAACCCCGGCACCAGGGCATTGGAGAAGGGGCCGTTTCTCGCTTTTGTTTGTCGAGTCGTCTTACCCCGTCGTCCCCCACTGCACCCACCCCCGTGACAGAGTTTCTCTGTTGTAGCCCTGGGCGTCCTGGAATTCACTCTGTAGGACACTGTTTCTCACTTTCTAACAAGAGGTAAAGTCGTGGAGGTGCGTTAGCTACTCAAAGCTCAGACCAGAAAGGGCTCCTGAGGGACAGGAACTTGTCCTCAACCCTCTGCTCCTGCTACTTAAATTGACCCCCCTCTCCCCCCCCCCGCCCCCGCAATCTCCTGGGACCCAATCTCTACTTCACCCTCACGGTATTAGTGTCCCAGACATGGGTCACAAGGTCAGCTGCAGGCAGGTAGGTGGGCTGTGGACAGTGAGGAGGGGGACAGTCCCCATCAGCAAGGGGATCGATCTGTGAACACAACGGTGAACATCCGCGGAAAGTCCTGACTTTGCTCTGTACTTCAGCCCGCGTGCAGGCCTGAGCTCATACGCAGGCCTGAGCGCGCGCATACGTACGGCAAGGGCTGTCTTCCAAAGGCGCACAGCTGCTTGCAGACAGCTGTGCGATCCGCGGTTCCCACCTCATCCCACTTGCCCGGGTTGGGACAGCCCGGGGCACCGGCGGTGGCAGTTCAGCGTGTCACCTCCCCTGCCACCCGCGCGGCGCAGCGGGCACGCAACCCCTCCAGATGCTCAGATCCCTGGGCCCCTGCGCTTCCTCGGGCGGCGCCATCTGACGCCCCTCTCTGCAAAGCCGGACCCCCTCGCCTGTTGCCATCTGTCGGCGGTGGAACCGCGCCAGGCCGTGAGCTGGGACAGGCGGGCGCTCCCACCCAGTCCCCAGAACCCCCAAGTTCCCGAGTCCCGGCTGCGATGTGGGTCCCTTTTTCTTCGAGGTGCTGCCTCTGAGCGGAAGACTTGCCAGTTGCAAGGATTGG